CATACGCACTAAGTTACCTGAGGAAGAGGATGAGGTAGGACTCTTGCGTTTCGCGCTTAGTGACCCGTATGGTGTCGCGGGTGTAGCCGGCGTGGGCGTTGTGCGACTGAAATTGTCCAAATTAGGTGCTGTCTTTTTTATAGATAGGCTGGGGGTAGGTAAAGCTCGCTTCTTAGTCTTGGTCGCGGTTGTTTTCAATCATGGATGTGTCTGTTTCGGGTTCCGACAGCGATTCTTCCATGTCACTGTGATCTCTAGTGTCCATCTCATCTGCTTCCACAATCAATTCGCTTGGCTGTTTGGTTGGTATGGCAGAAGGGCGGTATAGGTATAGAGTTTATTGAGAAAGCGTTCATGAGTAAAAATAGCATTGACAATGCCACGAAGTTATTATATGGTACATTATTGTAGTAAGGATAAAGTCTTGTGTCCATGGCATCTGCTTCCGCAAACACTACGCTTGGCTCTTGGGGCGGTTGGTATGGCTGAAGTGCGAGATAAGTGTGGTGTGTATTGAGCCCTATGTGGCTATAACACAAGCTCTAAGAAGTAAGTATATATATTATTCCACGCTAAGCTATTAAACATACTCATACATAAAACATACACAAAAGTAAATGCCCACACGCATACTCATATATACAAGACCCGCTTCTATATATGCCAGTAATATAGCCTTCACAGTCACTGTAGCTCTCTCCCGCGCGCTAATTCTTCTTCATGCTCTCACCATGCTTCTCATCGCTCTCTGATCTAAAAATACGGTTGCCAACACACTGATGTTCAGCTTACATAGTCAAATCATAAGAACACGCACACATACGCAATCATATGAAACAAGACATAAACAGACATACAAATATTCATATACACATACATACAAATACATACATACACATGCATATAAACATGCACATACATATACACATAAATACACACATACGACAGGCTTGTAGCCCTCGCTGACACTGGTGTCCTCTAATACACTCTTCCTCTTCACGCTGTGCTTCTTAAGAGGCACACCACTATATATGATAGCTGATACACTTACCCACTGCTCACAGACACATACATGCCTTATAT